CCTAACGGTGCATCTAAATCTCCTTCAGAGACAGTGGCTCGCGCCGCTGTCTCTGGTCGCAGCGCGTGGAGCGCGCGAGCTGTAACGACTCCGGGAGTCGTTGACAGTAAAAAGAGTGTCTGGTCAGGGACCAGGCACTTCCAAGAAATTATCCGCCGTGCGGCGTCGAGGTGACACAAGCGTGTCGACTCCGGGAGTTAACCCGCGCTCGATATCAGAATCGAGAAAGTTCTCCGCCGTGAGGCATCGAGGTGACAACGGTGTGTCAACTCCGGGAGTTGCGACACACTACTCCGCCGTAAGGCGTAGAGGTGATGACAATGTATCGACTCCGGGAGTCGATGCGACAAGCTGTGTGGATGGTTGCAAGAGTCCAGCACTGAAGCTTGCGTGCTGTCGTGCAGCCGGGCTTGATGACGCGTGCCCACGGGTACAAGAACCCGCCGGCGGAATCAAGGAACATTCGTCCATGGCCGGGCCTGGACGAAATGCAAGTGAATCCAGGATTCACAAGGGGAAGCGACGGCGCAAGCACAACACAGTGCGCAAGTCTCGGTCTGGGACCGAGACTCTTCAAGGTATGTCTGCCGGGCAGACACAAGAGCCGACAGTGGCCGTCGAGACGTTGAACGTCTTGACGCAGACCTGTACTGGGTATCAGTACAGGAAGATGGAGTTGGAGAATCCTCCGACATAGACGTTGGAGTTGATTTCGCTTCCAGCCATGAGATGGAAGCGCTTCGCGAAGAATATGTATTATGCATTCTTTCTGTTCACGAAAGAGTGGCAAGCGAAGCGGAGGAGTTGAAGCTCTCTTCACTGGAAGCCCCTCTGATAGTGATGATACTCTCAGCGGCAAGACGAAGCAGGAACGCTTCGACGAGCATAGTTGCAAGATTCTGCGAGAGCACATGGATGTGCTCTCGGACGAGACTCCCGCGGAAGAAGTATCCCGACGCGACAGTGGCTACTGTCGCAAGATCAAGCAAGGTGCTTGTGTCTGGTGCGCGACTTCGCACCGAACTGCTTCTACATGATATTCGTTCACAGCCGGGCTGTGGACGGGAAGAAGAAATGCGCACGGAAGTGGACCGCTGCGTGGTCACAGCCGTTAGATGCGGCCAAGCTGGGCTTGGCCGCATCCAACGGATCTTGGCAGTGGTTGTCCAAGAGCGTCCCTTTTCCCGTACACATCCGATTTCGCGATTGGATGCGCGTTGATGATCCAGTGCATGACAAGGAAATCCTTCCTTGTCATGAAGCATACACTCCCAAAGTGCCGAGTGCGATCACTCGGCAACACGTCGTTCGTGGTCTATACCGACCAGGGAACGTTGCGGGCAACGATGAAGTCGCCGCACATCTCGTCCTTCGGGCGAGATGGTTGTCTCCCCCTGGTGTACGATTTCCGGGTCCACAAAACCCGGAAGGTTGAATGTCGTCGCACACGTGTTGTCGCGACAACCGAAAATTTTGCCGCGGCGAAGGCTGTGTTTGCGCTTGACGCAGACGCAAGAAGCTGATCGAGTTTCTCTCAGCTTCTTCTGACATGGTACGTCGGAAGTTGACCTCTCACTTACGAGCAAGTGCACACTAGTATCGTGTGCGAGTCTGTGCAGGGCACAGACGCAAACAAGGTTAACGAGCTGAACCCGGCGTTCAGCTCTCAAGTGCTGGACTGTGTCCAACACGCAATTTTTTGCTTCTCAGAAAGACAGAAGCCATTGGTCAACCCGGGGTTGAACATATGAAGAGCACCCGACGTCGCCGGGGCAGACAGATATTTCTGTCCGTGTCACGTTCCAACGGGATGCCGCCGTCGGTCGCGTGGACCGACGAACCTTCGAAGACAGTCGACGGACAGTAGGTCTTGGCATCCTCAGCGCGCTTCTTCTCCTGGAGCTCGAGTTTCTTCTCCTGGAGCTCGAAGTACTTGTCGACAGAGAAGTTCTCTGTCGTGTCGCTTGGGGGTGTCAGGGTTGCCGCCAACACAGGCGTAGAAGCAGGCACCGACGCGGAGGTCGGTGCGGACGCGGGATCAAACGTAGGTGTCGACACTGAGGTCGACGCGGACACTGGCGAGGACGCTGGTGTTTGCAGAGGCGTGCTCATTGCGAAATGAGCGCAGAGTTCTATCGGAGACTTGACGGTCTCGTCAAGGCTTGGATTGACGTGTTGTGACCAGCACGGCAAATCTTAACGGAGGGGTGGGTGGTGTAAGGAGGTTACACGAAACTCTAACCGTAACGCTAATCGGTTAGAGTTAGAGGTTTCCCGTTTTGGTGTGTTCACACACTAAGACTGCTTGTGAAGGGATCCTATTGGTAGAGTGCGCCACATCTCTATGAGAATCACTGTCAGCCACCCGCTGACAGTCCCTTAGACATTTGATAAACAGTTTAGGAAGGAAACATCCTTAACAACAATAAAGTTCTCATTTTACGCTATCCCGCTCTTTATCTTGTCTTATCGTACACACGATGCGTGTGTACGCTATACAACCTAGGAACACCTACGCTTCCTCCTACACGTGCGCACACGTGTAAGCTAACTAGTGAGCCCTAGGTCCACTACACAAATGGTTTCTTCAACTACCCTTGGGTTGATGACCACGTCAACGTCGCCACCGATGTTGGGACCAACTGTCAAGACATGAAACGATCACTGCGATACGCTATGATTGCTCTACTAGGCAGTGGAGCCGTCAATGAGGACAAATTTACGACATGGAACACCAGTCAAAAGATCCTGGGGCTGCAGTTCGATTCCGTTGCATCGACGGTCGCTATGCCTGCTGTCAAGATCGATAAGACCCGCACTATGGTGACATCGGCATACCACTCAACGTCGCTCTCGCGGACACCGTATCGCTTCCTCATGGGAAGCCTGCGTCACGTCACAACATGCATGCGGCCATTTCTCCAGCGCCTCCGGTTAAGAGAGATCAACCTACACCGATTTCGATATGTCCCAGTATGCAACTCCATGAAACAAGATCTGCTCTGGTGGTGGCAGATTCTTCACTCCCCACTTCTGAATGGAGTGGCCCTCGAGTACTTTAACAGTTTCCCCAAGACCGATGTGATAGTCGAGATGGATGCGAATGACCACGACCTGTGCGCTCTTGATACAACGGCAAACGTAGCGCTGACTTCCCAATTCTCGCCTCGTGAACTTCAGCGCATCGCGCACATGGATGCCGGGGAGGCGAATGGTTTCGACATCAATTTCCGGGAATTGCTCTCCTGTGCTTTCGCGACCCATGCGTGGGGTTCTCGGTAGTCCGATTGTGCTACGAATGCACGACGCCCCCTTCATGTACACTTCCTACATCAGATGTGACGTGGCAAAATCGCCTAGCGTCGCGTAACACCCGCGCTCAAGACATTATCCGGCTCCTGGGTTACTGGGAGAGCTCCCTCAGCCTTCGTTTCTCAGCGTCTCAAATCGCCGGAGCCGACAACGCACGCACAGGCCCTGGATCAGGCATCACGGCACACTCGTCTTATGCTACTCAGTTCGAAGGACTAACTCGTGGTTGGACGCAGGTATCCCCGATGATTGCCGTCGACGATCTTTCGACACTCTGGCGCAATATCTTCGCATGCATTCCGTTGCCGAATCCATCCTCTGTGTAGACATCACGCCGGGGGATTGAGCCATGACTCTTGAATTTACTCGACGAGGGCCGCATTCAAGTCCTTTCTGACTTCACTGTGCACGGATTTCAATATGGATTTGGCGCTGGCGGGTCGCTATGAGGAACATCAATTATCAACACGCTCCAAGAGATCCGGCCCTTCTTTGCTGCGGCCGGGAGAGTTCTTCCGATGGCACACCCACATGTTCGCATGCTTCTGTGGTGGAGCGGGATCAGCAAAATCTGTGAAGTGGTTGGGTCCGGCTTGCCACTGTGCCCAGGACACCGGCTATAGGAGGGGG